CAAAAAAAAAAAAAAAAATTAGCCAGCAGTGGTGGCACACTCCTTTAATCTTAGCACTCTGGAGGCAGAGACAGATGGATCTCTATGAGTTTGAGGCCAGCCTGGTCTACATAGCAAGTTCTAGGACAGCCAGGGCTACACAGAAAAGCCTGTCTCGAAAACCAAACCGTCTTAGAGGGGAAAAAAATATTGAAAGGGCCTGAAGAGATAGCTAAGTGATTAAAAGCACTGGTTGCTCTTCCAGAGAACCCATTACATTCCTAGCGAAACTATCTGTAATCCATATGATAGAAGGAAAAACTGACTCCTTCAAGTTGTTCTCTGATCTCAATACATATGCAGTGACATAAACACATGCATCATGAAAACACATACAACAACGAATTTTTAAAAATTTCAGGCTTAGGACATTCAAGAATGTTTAAAAAAGGGTATGTGTCTGGCTGGAGATGGCTCAGTGGTTATAAGCACTTGTTCTTGCAGAGGAAGTGGGTTTGGTTTCCAGCACCCATATGGTGGCCTATAACCACCTATAACTCCAGTTCTAGTGGATCCAACACCTTTTTCTGACCTTCATTGGCACCAGACTGACAGGTGGTGCACAACCATACATACACCACTTGGTGGGTAAAGGTAGAAAGATCTGTAGTTCAGGGTCATCAATGGCTATAGAACCAGTTCAAAGACAGGCAATGTTACACAGTATTCTGTCTCAAAATAAAGAAAAAGAAATAAGTAGCAATGAATTCTATCATCTTGTTGCTCTTATTTTCTATGTTCATCAAAAGTGATGAGTTGTCCACTAAATAAGGTCAATTTGGTGGCTAGGGAGATAATTCAGTTGGTAAAGTGCTTTCTTTTACAAACACGAGGAGCCTCAGTGTCTTAGGGTTACAATTGATGTGATGAAACACCATGACCAAAAACAACTTGGGAGGACAGAATTCACTTTACTCACAGTTCCATGTAACAGTTCATCATCAAAAGCAGTGAGGGCAGGAGCTCAAGCATGGCAGGGCAGGATCCTGAAGGCAGGAACTGTCGTAGAATCCGTAGAGGAGTGCCGTTTACTGACATGCTCCTCATGGCTTGCTCACCCTGCTTTCATATAGAACCCAGGACCACCAGCCCAGGGATGGCACCACTCTCAATGGGCTAGGCCCTCCCCCATCAATTAATGCCCTTCAGTCTTGAACTATAGCCCAATTTTATTTATGGAGGCTTTTCCTCAATTGAGGCTTTCTCCTCTTCCAATGACATCAGCTGTATCAAAGACAAAACTAGTCAGCATGCCCAGCACCCAAGTAAAATGGCAGATATGGTAATCTCAGTGCTGAGAACATTCAAGCAGGAGGTTTCTTGGACTCATTGGCCAGCAAGTTTAGCTTTATCAATAAGCTCCAGGCCAAGATCCTATCACAAAGAAGGCAAGTAGTGTTTCTGAGGACAACCAAAGTTCTCTTTTGCCTTCCACATGCAAGTGAACAATGTGCAAACACACCCCAAAACAAACACACGCAACAAAAAATTTAACCATCTAATTTCCTACAACACCAAATGTGGGAACCTCTGGGGCTGAAGAGATAGTTCAGCAATTAAGAGCACTGATTGCTCTTCCAGAGGACCAAGGTTTGACTCTTAGAACCTATATGGCAGTTCACAACCATCTGGAACTCCAATCCTAGAGTATCCAATACCCTCTTCTGGCCTCTCATGTATCAGGCACATACACATGACGAACAGATATAACGCAGGCAAAATACTCCTATACATAATACAAGTTATTTAAATGTGGAAAATACCAGAGTATTCTACTGATGAGAGGTATATTATAGATACAAATGTATTAATATAGTAGAAAAGGTTTAAAAGCTATGAAGTGGTGCATGCCCAATCCCTGCCATCAGGATTATAAACAAAATTAAAAATGGAAGTACTTACAGAAACACTAAAGAATTAGTTTATTACCTGTTAATACTTGTCAAAGTCCTAATTCAAGGGTTGAACTTGCCCACAAACTAAATCTCTTACTATGTTGTATTATACTTAAACCTTTTTTCAGGCTCTTTTTCAAGGTCTCGCTAAGCAGCTCAAGCTGGCCTCAAACTTCAGATTCTGTCTTCAGGCTGGCAACGTGCTGGAATTTCACATTTAGGTCACCATACCAGGCTTTGGCACTTAACAGTTTCAACTGTGTTTCCCACTAGGAAATGACAAAAATGTTTCCTATTGCATGTGTCATCTTGATACTTTTATGTTTGAGGGATATCCTTAATTTCACTAAAAAAGACACCATTCATTTGGGTGTCTGTGGCTAAAAGAGCACTCACTCCTTATGGAAAAGTAATCTGGAAATCCTTTCTTCATTCTAGATATTTCTGGCAAATGAGAAATAAAAGTCAAGACTCAGCCCCTAACAGTTACCCATCAACAAATATATCTGTGAAGGGAAATTACTCATAATTTCAATCAAATTCAAAAAGTTAAAGATCAAATCCTCTGTGTCACTTAAAGATAAGGGATGGCAGCCGGGCGGTGGTGACGCACGCCTTTAGTCCCAGTACTCGGGAGGTAGAGGCAGGCGGATCTCTGTGAGTTCCAGGCTAGCCTAGACTACAGAGCGAGTTCCAGGAAAGACGCAAAGCTACACAGAGAAACCCTGTCTTTAAATAAACCAAAAAAAGATAAGGGATGGCAGGGCCTTTCCAAGTGACAGTGACCACCTCCCTGATGACTACTGCCCTGTGAGAACATGCCTCTTGCAAAAGATTTCCTTCATCCCTCTTCAGAAGAGAAGAAGAAATAAGAAAAAGCACTTGGTACAGAGCCCCAACTCCTACTTAATGGGTATAAAATACCCAAGATGCTGTAATGGTCTTGAGCCATGCACAAACAATTGTCTAGTGTTGGCTGCTTCACTGTCCTCTCTCTGTCAGCCTACAGGCAGAAAAGAAAGGCTTACAGAAGGATGCTCCTTCAGGAGAAAGTGGCACTAAAAGCACCCTGAATCCCAAATCCGTCGGGGAACCATCCCAATATACACATTTTGGATAAAAATTAAATAAAAGGGGAAGAAAACAAACAAAAACTGCTCGTGGACCAGCTTCCTGATACATATCTACGATTCCAGAACTTGGGAGGGTGAAGGTCAAGAGGATCTCAAGTTCAAGGTTACCAGCAGTTTGAAACAGATACTGCCTCAAAAAAAGTAGATAGGGGGAAACCCAGTCTTAAAAAACCAAAAAAAAAAAAAACAAAAAACAAAAACAAACCCCCCCCCAAAAAAGAGGGGGAGGGGAAGTGGTGGGGGGGGTGGTAGAGAGATTGTTCAGTGGTTAAGAACACTGGCTGCTCTTCCGGAGGTCCCAGGTTCAATTATAACCATCTGTAATAAGACCTGGTGCCCTCTTTTGGCCTGCTGGCATACATGCAGACAGAGCATTGTATACATAATAAATAAATAAATCTTTTATTAAAAGATAAAAAAGCCCAAAAAAAAACCTTCCAAAAAAAACACCAACCACCACCACCACCACCACCATAACAACAAAAAGTAGTAAAGAACCTGGGATATGTCTCAGTGGTTAAGTATGTGCTTAGCATGTGCAAAGTTCTGTGTTCATCTCCAGGTCCAGAAGAAAAGAGAAATCAAACAAGAATGACAAAACCAACAGAAAAATGGTGAAAAATATATGAAAACAAGACAACTACTTCTGTAAGGAAATCCACTATTAAAAATCTAAATTATTGGGGCTGGAGAGATAGATGGCTCAGTGGTTAAGAGCACTGACTGCTCTTCCAGAGGACCTGGGTTCAAGTCCTAGTACCCACATGGCAGCTCACAACTGTCTGTAATTCCAAGATCTGACACCCTCACAGAGTCATATGTGCAGCAAAACACCAATGCAAATAAAATAAAAATAAATAAATTATATAAAAAAATTAAATTATCAGTGGGAATAAACAAAGAAAGGGATGCAAATCTTTTCTAACACTGTTAAAAACAATAATAAGTAATCTGGCCAAAAAAAAAAAAAAAAATTAAGACTTGACCAAGAACTTCATTTTTGTAGTACACTAGTAATGAAACAACTTAATAACCACGTACAGTTCCAGAAAGGACATCATGAGGACAACAGTTGAGAAGGTGGCTCTTGCATACTCTGTCATCGCTGAATTTGATTCTTTGTCGAGTAGTATCTCCTGTAATATAGAAAAGTTAATAATATTCAAGGTTAGACAACTAGACAATATTTATATTTTGAAAGTCCTAGTTACCACTAGCTTTTGGTGTCTGACTATCTATATACAGACACTTATAAGTCAACCCAGGAGGGATTAGTTTTTTATATACCATCCTATAGAAAAACTATTTTAGACAACATGCAGTTGCAGTTTATGTACTGCAAATGTAATTCAAATAAACAGTCAAAGTGGGAAAGCAAAGCATTCTGTTAAATAAAAGTACTTCAGAAAAGCATAGGATTTTAGAGCAGGAATGGACTTTATAGGTTATCAAGTCCAACTCCTTCATATTGCAGATGAGGAAAATGAGGCCCCAAGAGGTTAAGCAACTTGCAGCAGACCCACCAAGGGTTTCTACAGTATACAATTGTCTCTTGACAGTAAGCACTAATTTATTCTGTAATTATTTACATTAATTTAAAAACATAAAAAGTAATCTTTCAAACATTGCATACACACTGCGAATCCCCACTGAACCCCAGACGCCATTTCTTCCACTATTTTGTTCCAGTTGAAGTGTCTCCCTTTTGCTGCTGGGAGGAGTTAAGAGGGTAGAATAAGGTGTTTAAGAGCGTACAAACCTGGAAGAAGGACTTACACACCAGTCAAACAAAGGCACATTGCCTAATGAAATGTTAACTTTAATACCTCCAAAGATTCCACACTTCCAAGTGGTCTGTGCTATATTGCCAAACTAAGCAATATAAAATATATTCTGTGCTCATAAAAAAAAAAAATAAAAAAACACAACTCCTAAACAGAAGCAACCAACCTGCTTATCATATAAAGCTATTTACTCAAAAGCTAAAGAGTCTAAGAAAAGGAAAGGTAACTAGATAGAGTAACAAAATACAAATGTTAGTTACAACTTTTTTGCTTAGACTCTCTGAAGAAATAAAAGAAAAACTCACAGGGTCGTTTCCTCTATGCAGAACGATAAGCCCTAAAAAATGTGGTATAGCCTTAAGTTGATATCACTGATAAATGAAAACCTACTGGTGAATTACTGAAGCGAAAACTGTTGAAACAAACCGAGATTGTAAATACCTCTACAGTTCACATGATACCTACAGCACTCCAAACATTTCAACTAGGAAGCAATTCTTAAATTAAGTTCTGTATTTTCACATGTGAATATCAAACAAACAAAAAAAATGTTCAAACTTTACCCCTTTTAAGTGTTCTTATATTGAAGAGCTTAACTTAAAGTCTACTAAACTGTGGGGTAAGATTTTGTTCAAATTGTTTTAACTTGGTTAAGAAGATGTAAAGAACATTCTGATTTGCAATTAGGACACATACATTTTTAAGAAAGATAATATGCTAAAACCATAGCTTCAGAGCAGTTCAACAATAGGTTTTCTGAGGCTTATCTCTAGTAGGTTATTTGTGACACAATTTGGGATAATCCATTTAGTGTTCAAGCCTGCTACTATGTTACTTTGATGGACTTTTATTTCCTTTTAAACACAACTGCTTCTGTTCCACATTCATTAACACATCTGAAAAGTTAGTGATAACTCACGGCTCGGCGAATGCGGGGCCTTTCTGAAACTCCCTTGCAGATTGAAGTAGGCAGGCATAGATACATTGAACCTTTACAAATAAAACAAGGGGCCAGATTGTTCAGTTTGTATAGAATAGACTCTGCCAGCAATTTCAATACAGCACCTAGAAGTACATGTTGTCTGTAAAGATTCTTGTATATGAAAACAAAAGTGAACAAAATCAGAGTGTTTGTTTTTTGTAGTTTTGTTTTTACAATACTGACTTAGTAAAAGTATACGCCCAGAGAAAAATATGAGTAAAGATAACGAAAGCCCAAGACTGGAACTATACGAGTGGCCCTTGGGCTACTCGAGGAATGTTTCTTTAAAAGTATGTTTCAATGAAGACTAGTGAGTGCCTCAAGCTCATATGAGAACCAAACTACCATAAGCTCACATCAGAAACCTAAAACTATAGTAGAAGCCTTTGGATCCTAAAAAGACTTTGTTTAAAACTCTACTGTAATTAAGTTAAGAATTTAAAGTGATAAATTTCTTGGGGACGAAGATCTCGGAATCACCCTGCTACAATTATCTAAGCTTTTGGTAATGAAACAGCAGTATCAGTTCAAGGCTCACAGGTAGAAGGGGTCTAAGTGAGGTCTTAGAATAAAGCTAAAATTTACAATTTTCTAATCAAACATCTCATCTAATAAGGTGCCTATTTTTGCTTAAGAAATCACATTAAGTACATCCATGCCCTGAAGACACTATCAGATAAAACATGAACAATTACAAATATAAACATAGTAACAGTAGCCCTGGTGAGCTTTAAAATAATGAAGGAATGAGTTTCTACAAATGCCAAAAAAAAAGCATCTAAAATACTTCACTACAAATAAGCAGGTATTCCATAAACATTTGATAACTATAGCAAAAATATCAAACACAGCTTTCAAATATAAGCCATTATAAAAATCTTTTTACTGAAATAATAAAACTAGTAGTTCAACATAAACAATACTCTGAGAAGGACATGTAAGTGAGGATCTGTCTATTGATATTTTACAAGTTCCACTTAGGGGGACTTTATGGTTAATATTTTAAAACAATTTGGCTACAAAATTACAAAATCATGCAGCATTTGAATATATTTGGGCTTATGACATAACTATAATTTAACTACACAATTTTAAAACAGAAATGATTTTAACTTTTATCTTTGTCACAACATCTGGCCCAAACCATGTTTTTCAAAAGAAACCAGATGAAATAGAACCCACTTACTTTAAGAGAAAAAAGTGGGGGGAAAAAGGGACTACAAATAGGGAATACGGAAAAAAAAAATCCTTCTAATACAAGATTTTATCAATTCAACATGCTTTATATATTTGTGTTTCCTGGTCAATGAATCTCTCTCTCTCCTCTCTCTCTCTCTCTCTCTCTCTCTCTCTCTCTCTCTCTCTCTCTCTCACACACACACACACACACACACACACACATACACACACACACACACACACACACACACACATACAAAATCTCAGTTAATTCCCCTAATAAATTCTCACATGTGTTTCAAAACTAGTAACAAATATGGAGGGAACTGCCCTGTCACAATGATACTAGATCCTAATCATAGAATCAAACCTATTAGTGACTCTATCCTCTGTGCTACAAAATAGAGTAACAGAGCTTAAGACAAATGTTCTGCTCCCAAGGAGTCCACATTTTCACTAGAGAAATAGGAAACATAAATAAAATAACACAAAATAACATGCCTCAAGTATCAAAGGGATGTTTTGAACATACTAGAACTAACACCAAAAGGTTGAAGAAACTGGGAAAGGCTTCATGGATTTAAGTAGAAGCCAAAATCCCAACACTACAAACAAGACTTAGAGGAAAAACAAACATTCCAGACCAGAATAGTATCTTTGACAAAGTTTACAAAGGCTTGAAGGTGTGGGGAACAGTAAGAAAACTATACTCAGCTTTGGCAAATGGCTGAGTATGTTTGGGAATACAGAGATTGGAGTCAAGGGTACAATTTTTAGAGGGTGAAATTTGGTTTCTAAAATCTTTCTCCAATCCATATTTACTGTATATGAATGAACTTTAAGAAATTTTTGAGCTGGGCAGTGGTGGCACATGCCTTTAAATCCCAGCACCTGAGAGGCAGAGGCAGGTGGATCTCTGAAAGGCCAGCCTGGTATACAGAGCAAGTTCCAGTATGGCCAGGGATATACAGAAAATCCAAACCCTATCTCAAAAAAGAGAAAAAAATCTTAAATGATGCAGTGATTAGATCAGGCATAGTCTACAACAAAAACAAATTATTTTATCTATAAAAACATATCTCTCTGCCCTATGACCTCCACAAAAATTAATTAAGCTTTATGTATAATCATAATGCAAGGTTTTAGAATGAGGAATTAGGCCTTTTTTATTTTTAAAGCAGAGTCTCATGTAGCTCAAGTTGTCCTTAAAACTCACTATATAGATAAAAAAAATACCATAATATAAAAATAAAATAGAGGCTCCTGCCTCTACCTCTCAAATTCTGGGACTATATATAGGCCTGTACCACTAGGTCCAGTGAGAAATCTGATTTATAATTTTGGGTGGCCACTAATTTTCATTTGAATAGAAGCACCAAAAGTTCCATTAATAATGTCCACCAAACAACTATCTTCAGTTACAACTTTATTGCCTTCTTTTGTCCAACCCCTTCTTGGGTGTCATAAATTATAACACTTGAGAACAGTTGAATCACAAGTATACAATAAGAACTAAAATGCATATATATATATATATAAAACTATCCACTAACTGAAACTAAGGTGGTACTGAGGCATCGGTTTCACTGGATATGAAAAAGCCTCCACTCAAGCCAGGGTTCCCATTCAAACTGAACTCAACACTGCTCTCAAAATTCCCTTCAATCTGCTGTGAAGGAAAACAAAACCTGTTGTAATACCCAATATGGAATTACGAACCTATGACTTGATATAAATTTTATCAGTAGCACATAAAACCTTGGCCTAAGTGGTATCTGACATTGTACACAGTGCATGCTATTTTCCCAAAACCCACCCCTCCCCCTCAATTTCTCCCACCCTCTCCCTCCCTCACAAACAATAAGCCAAATCAACTTCCATAAATTTAGGTGCTATTTTAAAAACATCAAAATTTTACTTTACCCATTCTCTCCGATGCTCCCTGTATTTTTTTAAGCTGTGAGTGGATGACCATGCTATGTGATCAACAACTGTGAAGTTAGCAAAAGTGAACTGAGTTTAGTATGGTAATTTCAAAAGAACCTTAAAGTTGTAATACTTGACATATTTAATGGTATGCAGAATCCTATCTTACTGTATATCATCAAGCATTAATGACAAGCAATTTATATATAAAAGCAGTCAACATTTCTTTGTACAGATTTAGCTCAGAGCTCAGCTTTGGGAAAACCAAGAGTAGAGCAGGAAATGCATCAGCATACAAAGCAATGCAAGTATCCCATGTCTATTAATGAAGGCAGGGACAAGAAAGTTCTCCCACATTTTCTAGTATGATGAGCCGAGTGTCCACCATCACCATCTGCAGGTGTGTTTAGGACCTTTTATCACTCAGTTGGCTTGGGACACAACAGGCTCCTTCCCTCTGAAATGAGACCTACACCCCTTCAGGGATAGAAAACTTAGAGCTAGAAATAAGAATAGAATTGAAAATGAGTAGCTTCTTGTTTGCCTAATCCCCAAATACAAAGACAAGCTATTAATAATACCCTTTCTTCCAATATAAGCTGTACATCCACATAACAGTATAGGAATTACATAAAAACCTATGGCCAGTTTCTTGTCTATTCCAGGGCATGGAGATAATTTAAGAAGTGCACAATTAAAGCCCTGTGTCTTCATATGAACCAAGGTGACTACTGTACTGAGGAGTCAACCAACCTGACCACTTTTATAATACAGTCCTCCTTGCACCTTACTTGTCTCGTGTATCTTTGTAAGTCCTTTAATATGCATATATATATATATATATATATATATATATATATATATATATATATATATGGACCTTTTTGCTACTAGTTTTTGCTTTTGAGACAGAGAAGCTGGCTTAGTGCTGGCTCATGATCCTTCTGTCGCAGCCTCTCCAAGTGCTGGGATTACAGGTATGTAGCACCACACCCAACTTATAATTACTTGGGCTTTTACTTTTATGAATTTTGCCTACATGTATATATGTGTATCATACTTGTGCCTGGTGCTCTCAGAGGTGAGAAGAGGGCACAGAATCCCCTGGAACTGGAGTATAGACAGTTGTGAGCTGTCAAGTGAGTACTGGAAACTGATACAAGAGCAGCAAGTGCTCTTAACCAGAGTCACCTTGCCAGCCCCTAAATTACTTTTATTTGGGGGGGAGGGGGGACAACACACAGTCTCCTGTAGCCCAGGATGCCTAGAACTCATCCTGTAGCTAGAAGATTTTGAATTTCTGCTCTTTCCACTTTCACCTGCCAAGTGTTGGGATTACAGGGTGCATCACCATGCCCAATTTTTTGTAGTTACTTTTTAAAATACTTATTTCCCCCTTCATGCTACCTTAATAAATATATTCAGATTGATCTACTGCATATTTAAGCAATTTACATTATATTTTATAAAAGGACTCACAACATCTTAATAATATAATCAGATATTTATATACAAAAGCCAATAGTTATGAGTCTTCCAATGGAATGCCAAAATATTTCTGAATGTATAAATAACACTTAGCAGTAGCAGTTTTCTCTCTCTTCAGAAAATGTAAACATAGGGCTACTTACACAGTTTAGAAAACTGTTTCTTTACAGTTCTTTAATTAATACAGTCCTATACTTTAATAATCACTAATGGCTACTAGTATAATTGCAACCATAATCCTCTTGACAAGCTTAAAAACTTTTAACTATAATGCTTATTTTAGGAAGAAAAAAAGTAAATACTTTCGGGGGTTGAAGGGAAGAAACAAGGGTTGGAAGCAAAGTATAACTAATGCAGCCCTGGCTGATCTCAAACTCACACTCTTTCTGCCCTAGTCTTCCAACTTCTGGAATTACAAGCATGTACCACACCAGCTAGTAATTTCAGTGCTGCTGTATATGATCAAAGACTATTGATGTTTTACCAACTTTTAGAACCTAAATCACTTATGTATGAAAACTCGTAAAAAAGTATTTTAAAAAATGATGCTGGAGAAAAGGCTTACAACAACTTTAAGAACAGAAATCCTAAAGAAACTAAATTCCAAGGCTACATTTCATCTACTGTTCCAACCTAGTCTTCTCTCATTATACAAAGCAAAGGGTCTTGACAAAAAACAAAAATTGGTGCCATTATATTCTTGGGGACATCTACTGTAGGAGTTTTTTTTAATCAGCATACTTCTCAGATTTAAGAGAGACATTACAAAGGACTGAATTGTAACCTAAGAATTAAACTGCCAAGTAGGTTAACACAAAGCCAGGCATAATGCCTCATGCCTGTAGCCTCCGAATTTGGGAGGCTGAGGCAACAGGACTGCCATTAGCTTGAACATAGTGATACTACACAGAGAGTGCTAAAGCAGACTAAGGAGCTACAGAGTGAGACCTTCTCTCAAAATAGTTTTAATAAGGCTATACAGAATTTAGCACTGATGTTAAAAGCTGCAGCCTACTAAACTTTATTTCCATCAGAGTTGCTGTTCATTTCTGATACAGTAACACTTGTACTCTGATTATTTGATTCCTTCTATCTAGAATTTTCTACATACAAAATTAGAAGCAATAGAAGCTATCTTTTCCTCCCATTTTTATTTTTTTCTTTTGAGACAGGGAATCTCACCATGTAGACCAGGTTAGCTAGAACTTAGGATTCTTCTGCCTCAGCTTCTCAGCTGCTGGAATTACAGATGTACACCACTACATCCAAATTAAAGGCAATCTTTGAAGAAATAGCTGAAAATAACCAAAGATGATGTGATTGGCTGATTTATCCATTAAAAAGACCCTCAAAGAGCTAGGTGTGGTAGGGCTAACCTCTAATTTCAGAACTCCTGAGGCTGTTCCAGGCTATCAGGGCTACGTTTGAGACCCTGTCTCAAAAAAACAATCAAGTCCCCAATTGTTCAAAATAAATACAAACATCAAAAAAAAAAAAAATCCCCATATCAAAAATCAACAAGGAAAGAAAAAAACAGTACTGAAAAACAAGTGACAACCTAATGACAATTTAAAATTGAAAAACACAGCATCAGGAAGGAGAGGTGAGCCTTGAACCTACAGAATAGTACAGCAGAAAAGCTGTGAACATACATCACATTCACAAGGGTTGCCTCTGGGGACTCTGTCATTCTTTTTAAAACATGACCAAAATATACAAAACTACTACTTGTTTATTCATATAGGTGTTTGTTTCCAAAATTAAATAACCATAATCACTATAAAAAATGTGTCACTTAAACGTAAGTGTTTGTAAATATTTACATATTAGATTTTTTGGTCTCTTTAGGATTACAAGTAGCTCATGCCTCTGATCCGAGAACTCAGGAGGCAGAGGCAGGAGGATCACCTAAATTCAAGGCCAGCTTAGGTGAGACAGGGACAAGAGGGGGGGGGAGAAGAAATGAACCAACTACACCTCAAATTTCTAAGAAAAAGAATAACTTGGGAGATAAAGGCAGGCAGGTCTTTGTGATTTTGAGGCCAGCTTGATCTATACAGGGATTTCCAGGGCAGCCAAAACTTCACAGAGAAACCCTATCTCAAAACAAAACAAAAGACTAAAGCAAACTGGGGGATACCAAGGAAAGTAATTGAGATTCTATTGCTATGAATGAATTATACCCTAAAGTTTTTCAAACAATCAATCAGAACACTACTGTGGGGCTGGAAATATAGTCCCCAACAGTTAAAGGAATTGGAAGCTCCTGCTCAGGACCTACACTTGATTTCCCACACCCACATGAGGCTGGTCACAACTGCCTGTGACTCCAGTTCCAGGGAATCCAATGACCTTTTCTGCCCTCCTCTGGCACTATACACATGATGCACATACAAATAGGCATACATACACAAATAAATTTAAAAACAAAGAACAAAACAAAAATCAAAAAACCAGTCGTAAATATTCTAATACTACAAATTAAATTGTGACACAGATTCATCATACTATTAAGTTTCTAGTGCCTAAGATAAATCATCTCTTTCTTGGCAAGTAAGTATGCCCCTCTTTGTCCCCTTCCATAAATCAGAAGCATGCTCTCCTTGCGATTTCTATTGCTGTGTTCCTATTTCATACAGCCACTGTATTAGTGACATCTTATAGAACCGGTGACTCTCATGAACCAAAATACTAAAGAAAAAAATGAGAAGCCAAGCTAAGTAAAGTAATTTCATTCTGCAGGTCTAGGTGACCTCCCTAGAGATGATTGAAAACTCTCCATTTCACAAGTTTATTTTTTCTGGTTAGTCAATTCTACTCATAGGCCTGAATGTATGCTGGAAATACACTGGCAAATAACTTCTTATATGAATACTAAGAACAGTATTTTCCAAAATATGGAATTGGCACAAGATGATTTGGGATGTCATTCCATTTCATCAACAAGATACTTACCAGACAGTAAGAAACATTAACTCATGAAAGATGTTTCCACTTGGCAATATTATTCTATTTAATATACCTGACAAATTCTAACCTTTAGCATATGGATTTCTAGGTGACAAGAGTCTAACTAATATAATAAACTGGGCATAGTGATGTATCCCCTTAATCCCAACACTTCAGAGCCAGAGGTTTTGCAGATCTATGTGTAGAGGCCAGCTTGTTCTATATTGAGAGTTCCAGGCCAGCCAGGAGTACATAGTGAAACTTTGTCTCAAAAAAACACAAAAAACAGAGTCTAGTTGTATCATTATGACAATACCTTTCTATCTGTATTTGTTTTTTATGGCAACACAAATGTCTTTTTTTTTTCTTCCTTTCCCCCCACCCCCTTTTTTTTCTTTGTGACAAATGTCTTTCTAAAACTAACTTAATTAAGCAGGGCTTCAAGGCACAGGCCTGTAATGCCAACTGCTTAAAAAAACAGGACCATGAGAGATGGCTCAGTGGTTAAGAGCACTGGCTGCTCTTCAAGAGGATCCAAGCTCAATTCCCAGCACCCACGTGGCAGCTCACAATTGTCTGTAACTCCACTTCTAGGGGATTCAATGCCCTCACAGACATACATGTAGGCCAAACACCAAAGCACATAAAATAAAAATAAATCTTAAAAAAAAATATTAAGCCAGGCAGTGGTGGCACACGCCTTTAATCCCAGCACTCAGGAGGCAGAGCCAGGCAGATCTCTTTAAATTTGAGGTCAGCCTGGTCTACAGAGTAAGATCCAGGACAGGCACCAAAGCTACACAGAGAAACCCTGCCTTGAAAAACCGGGGGAAAAACCAAGTGCTGAAATATAGTATAGCACAAGTAGTGGAGTGCTTGCCTAGCTTTGCAGAAGACCATGGGTCTGATCCCCAGCACCACCCCACCAAATGCTTGCAAGCACACATATATAAAACTTAAAGTTTTTAGAAAGTTAGTTGACAAAGAAAAAATACTAAGTCAGGTGATGGTGGTGCACACCTTTAATCTCAACACTCGGGAGGCAGAGGCAGGCAGATCTCTGATTTCAAGGCCAGCCTGGTCTACAGAGCAAGTTTCAGGACAGCCAGGGCTACAAAGAGAAAAGTCTTGAAAAAAAAGAAAAAAATTAATACGAAACAACAACAACAGTAAGGGTGGGAAACATTTATCTATAACAGGGTTTCTTGAACTTTTAGTTGCATCAAAACTTTAAGAGCCAGGCATGGTGCCTCATGCCTTTCATCTCAGCACTCAGGACACAGGGAGAGTTGGATCTCTGTTCTAGGCCAGCCTAGTTTACATAAGGAGTTCCATGGTCACACAGACTTAGTCTCAAAACAACAACAAAAAATCATTGTAAAATATCTTAAACATAGATTGCTGGCCTCCACCTCAAGAATAAGAATTTGAGCCAGGCGGTGGTGGACGCCTTTGATCCCAGCACTTGGGAGGCAGAGCCAGGCGGATCTCTGCGAGTTTGAGGCCAGCCTGGTCTACAGAGCAAGATCCGGGACAGGCACCAAAACTACACAGAGAAACCCTGTCTCGAGAAAAAAAGAGAAAAAGAAAAAAAGGAAAAAAAAAAAAAACACAAAGAAGAAGAAGAAAAAAAGAATAAGAATTTGAACTGGGCAGTGGTGGCATGTGCCTTTAATCCCAGCAGAGGCAGGCAGATCTCTAAGAGTTCAAGGCCAGCCTGGTCTACGGAGTGGATTCCTGGACAGCCAGGGCTACAAAGAGAAAACTTGGGGGGGGGGGGGCGGTTAGTAAATGAATTTCTAAAGCGACAGGAATGCAACTGTGGCTAGTCTGGGACACAGACTGACCACAGAACAGTAGCATACAAAATGTTTCTGATGGGGGGAGAGGGGGTTGAAGTTTGAGACAGTCTCATTCTGTAGCCCAGGCTGGCCTCAAACACAGAAATTCTCCTGCTCAGCCTCCCACTAGGCAGGATTAGAGGTATGAGCCATTATATCTGGCCAAATGAGTGTTTATCTGTAAAGTGCTTGCCAAGAATGCATGAAGCCCTCAGTTTAATACCCAGCACCACATAAAACTGGCTGCGGATAGTCCATGCATGTAATTCCAGCATTCTCAGGACAGAGGAAGATCAGAAGTTCAAGGTCACCCTGGGTTATAAGGATTCCTACTTCTAAAAATAAGTGAGTTTATAAAAAGCAGGAAGACATAGAACTAACCCTTTATTTAAAACATCTTCAAGCACTAACTGCAAAGGGCATAATATACTGACAGCAGAACAGAATACAACACAAAACTTGGTACAGTTTTGGTATATTTATGCACCCTCCATAAATATCCACCCTCCCTACTGAAAGGCAAAGCTTTGGATAGTTTAACTCTAAAATATAAAATTGAGGCCTACAGAAATCTGAGGTCTCAAGAAAATAAAAACAAACAATTTACCATATTCTTGAGACAGGACAAAAGATTCAGCAAAGGCAGCTGGTTAAATTCTTTTCACGATGAGTCAAATAGGTCAAACATCAGTTGTACATGGTTCACAACTAAATTAGAACATATGGGTCAATAGAGTGTTTTCTACAAAAAAAAAAGTTAGGTTCTTTTTCTGGCCAATGTTAACAAAATATGACATTTAATCAATTGACTGAACTGTATGTTACTTTCTAACATTAAGTTATTCAGCTAAATCAAAAACATGTAAACTTTAATTTTTAAAAAACTACTTTCCTCTATATCCTCAATAATCCTACAAAATTAATAATCTATTTTAGCCTTTCCTTCCCATTTCTACCCAAGTAGCTGCTAGTAAATGATCATTTAAACCCAAAAGAACAAGAGTAGACCAATGGTGCATGCCTGTAGTCCCAGCTATTTGGGAAGCTAAGATTACAGGATTGCCTGAGTCTATGTGTCCCACGACCAGTACAAAACAAACAGCTGGAGCATAACTTCATGACTAAAGTGCTTTTCTTACAAGCACAAGTCTGATCCCTAGAACCCATGTAAAAAGAAAGAAGTTATCCACAGTGGTATACACTTGTAAATGCCAACTTGCCTAGAGAGACACAGACAGGTAGACCTCAGGTCAATGGTCAGGGTGACAACACCAGAAGTGTTCTCTGACCTCTACACATACATACCTGAATGCACACATGCATACACAGATACATACCCACCCACAACCAAAAAGGAACAGATTTTTTTTTGTGTGTGTGTGTGTGTGTGTGTGTGTGTGTGTGAGAGAGAGAGAGAGAGAGAGAGAGAGAGAGAGAGAGAGAGAGAGAGGAGGGAAAGCAGGTATGCTAAAGCCATAAGATTCCTGTCAGAAACTTACCCTGTTTCTCTCCCTCATGTTTTTCCAACAAGATATTCCAACTTCTTTCATCTTCTTAGTCTACAATGTCTTCGTAAACTGATTAGGGTGGGTAGAACTGTCTGTTTCCTCAAAAGCAGCAGCACTGACCTGCCTCAGGCATCTTTTTTAATTTGTAACCTAGGCTGACCTCAAACTCGCCATCTTCCTGCTTCAGACCCCCAAGTAGTAGAGGATTACAAATGTAATCCTTCCATGTTTAAAATTTCACTTTTTTTTTTTGGGGGGGGGGGGTTGTGACAGGCTCTCACTCCATAGCCCAGCCTGGAATTCTAGGTACTCCTCCTTCAGCCCCTCAAGTGATGGGATTACAGGTACGTGTCACTATGTCCAGCTGGAAGCTCATCTATCTCATTTACATAGTCTTTTTTTTTTTTTTTTTTTTTTTTTGGTTTTTTCGAGACAGGGATTCTCTGTGAAACAGTCCTGGCTGTCCTGGAACTTACTCTGTAGCCCAGGCTAGTCTCAAACTCAGAGATCCGCCTGCCTCTGCCTCCCAAGTGCTGGGATTAAAGGCGTGCGCCACCACCGCCCGGCTCATTTACCTAGTCTTGCCACATTTACTGACCTTCATTTAGTGTTAAGCCATCTCTATGTGTTCAGTCCTAGGGTTTGTCTGAACTCTCAGCAACTTCAAGTTTCACTGTAAGAAGCATGTTACTGAACAATGATTCAATGAACCCGAGCATGACTATGATACGTACTTGCTTTTGTAGTCTCCGTCCTAAACACTTTTTATCCTTAGGTAACATTCTCCTTTACCTAGAAACACACTTGCCACTTACAGTGCTTGCACACATACACACCAAATTATTTTTCTTTTTCTTCTTTTTTTTTTTTACCTGAAATATTGTCTCAGAAACATAGGCTTACTTGAGGAGTGCTAAACAACTGCAGAGATTCCAAGACAACAGGGATCTATGAGATGAGATTTTTATTGTTTTCTGGGCTGCTCTGTAGATAGAAATATTATTTAGAGTTCAAAATACAAAATGAGGAGTGAAACTAAGTGATTCACTATCCAAGTGCTAATAGAGCTTACAATTGTTTTGGAGACTCCTGAACACTGACAAAATCAAGTAGTTACAGACACAGGAAAACTGGCCTTAGGTTTGCTAAAATTTCTTATGTTAAAGAATGTACATGCTCTAGACTATGACATATCCTATTATTGTGTTTTTTAAAATGTGTATTTGTACATTAAAGGCTACACTTTTTACTTAAAATGAAATGAACTAAGTATAATAAAAGGATGGCTTACAAATGACCAAGATATGAATCATTAAGATGAGAAAAAATTAAGAGAATATGTGTTGATGACAAGAGAAACACAAATTACAATAAAGATGATTTTACAATGAAGATAATCCATGGGGGAAAAAAACACTACAAATTTTTGATTCAATAATTTTGCAGAAAGGCAGTAATGTTCTACATAGAGATAGATGTATTAAGTTTTATTAAACTTGTGTTAGGAACAGGTAAATTACTTTCTGAACTGCATTTTCCTTTCAATTTTATGTTATCGCACATTATATAACTGATTAGCAGTTAAGATTAGCATCCTGTAATAACTGAGGAAGTATTATCATACACCTCAGTAAAATTACTACCCCAAATAGCTAAAATTCCTAAAAAAATTTTGGTGCTTTATTGATTCGGCTTTTTTGAGATGATGTCTCATGAAGCCTAGGGCAGCCTCAAATTAACTATGTAGCTGAGTCTGGGACACTCTTGATCCTCTTGCTTCCACCTCCCAAATGCTAGGATCAAAGAAGAGCCCCATGAACAACAGCAATAATGGTCTAACTACTCCAGGAACATTGACTGTCACACCTGACAGGCAAAGCAGAGCCCTGCTGGAGACACAGAGCTACTTCTGCCCCCCAGGAGAGACAGAAGGGAGGGTTGTAGTGCTCAAGATTGAATCTATAGGTCGTTGCACATGCTAAGAAAGTACTCTACCACTGAGATACATCCCCAGCTGTAGGCAACTTAGTCTGATCAAAACAGCCCATCATCATGGATGATACCACACAATTTTATTTCTATGATCTACACTTTTGGGTCTATAGGTTGGCTTCCAAGGCACATCTGATGACACACCACCATTCTTGGTTCATTTTAACCTTTCAGAAATGGTTTGTGCTCCCATTTAAAGCAATTTTAAAACATGGTACTTTCAGAACAACCTTCTGTACCTTCATACTTCCATATTTAGGATGTAATCTAGGCACAGGTCCTAGGTCTAAGGGTACAGTTCAGTGGTTCAGAGCTTCCCTAGCATATGCAAGGCCCAGAGTTTGATCCCTACCACTGGGGTTGGGGGATGTTCCTGTCCACCCCAATTTTGTTTAGTTCACATTAGTTGTACCTTCCTAAGTCTTTCTGGAATCATGGCCAGAGACTTATACAAACTATGTGCTCACAAAGAGGCTTTATGCCAAGGGTCATTCTTGCAATTAATCCAATCTAGTCAAAAGGACCGTAGTCTTCTAAGGGCACCGAACTGCTTTCTCTCAACTGACACAAAAACAATTCTCAAAATGTTTCTTTAAATTTCCTTTGTGGTCCTTCCTGCTATTATCTGAAATATGTTCAGGAAAAAGAAATTATCTCTCTCTTTTCTAAGACAGAGATTTTTAAAAAATGTAATTAATCTTAAAATTGAGATAACATACTAGTAATGGGTATCTACTTGTGATTCTTTTCTAAAAAAAAAAACTGTATTTATTTAGCATTTTTAGTATTAACATAGGAAATTATATGGCTTCCCATATAACAAATTATAGACTTAACTTGATTGAAGCAAAAAGGTTATGTGACTTACCCAAGCTTCTAATTAGAAACCAGGTCTCCTGAATCTCAGCCCAGTGTTCTTTTCCTTAACTTACGATGTCTTATTAGAAAATTCCAAATATAGACAGACCCCCAGTTACATGGGTTTGAGTTACACTGATTCACATATACAAACTTTATATAGTGTGACCAATGTTTCAACTCACGCGGTACCCTGCTTCCATTTATGCAGTATGCCAGGCATCGGCACGATTTTCAGTGGCACACAGGCGGTTGCCACCACCAGGGCCCTAGGCAAAATTGCAAAGAAGGCAAAGTTTGTCTTTGGCCCTCCCATCTCCCTTATGCATTTCTCTCCCACCTCCTGGTCATCCCCCTGCCCAACCTCCCAATTCCACCATGCTGCCCTTCTGACTGTCCAAATCCCCCCACTCACCAAGGACTATCCTTTCTTCAGTGCCCAGTAATCCGAGTTACCTTATTTTCCTACCACCGTAATTCCTATTCCTAAGGATTCTAATGAGTCTCCTAAGAGATGGCTGATTTAAATGACTGAAGAAAGATGCACTTAACCAAGAGTCTTAGATCTCCAAGCAATTTAAAAAGGAATTAAAACTCTTTTAGAAAAGTGAGGGGGGAGTCATCTTTGGAAAGGGGGAGCAACATTTTCCCAGAGACCCAGGATTCCTTTACCATTTCAGATTCCTTCACAAATTCAACACTAAAGGATAAGGGGATAATTGCCACCTTAGGTACCACTACCCAAAAGAGTCTATTTATAGTTAGTCTACAGGACAAACAAACAAACAAAAACCAAAGCTCCTTTAAATACCCAACCTCACCTACCTTTTCCATCTCTCTCCCACCTTCTGGGTCCCCATTTCCACCTCTTAAAGCCAAACACACAACAGCATTTTTGGTAAGCTGTCCATGTGTGTAACACAAGGTTTTCCATTATATGGTTCAAATGACATGATACTATTCAGTGATATAACTATGCTTCCCTATCCTTAGATAACTTTAAGTTTACTGTACGCCAAAAAAAAAATTTTTAATTCTGATTTTATTTCAAGGTCCTGAATTACAAATTCATTAAACATGTAATAAGAAGGAAATGTACTGTATTATCTTATATATACAAAAGAATAAGGGTATCTAAAAAAAGTCTTTCTGTTCTGTTTTATTGGGCTAAAGTCTCACTGCACTACCACACCTGGCTAAATAGTCAATCATTTCTTTCAACTTTTCCATACATGTAGTTGTTCCTTTTTTGTTGTTGCTGAGGCAGGGTCATACCCTAATTCAGGCTAGCCTGTAACTATGTAGGCTAGCCTTGAACTCACTGAAATCCTCCTGCCTCAGGTTCCCACCAGGCCAGAATTAGTTTCTTCTGATTCAATACAGCACTGAAAATGGAATCATTTCAACGAAATACTATTGTCTACTCATAAACATGAGTTCATCCATAAATTCATTGGTCTGGAGGGCAAAAAAAAAATATCCAGGGACAGAGACACAAATATAAATTTAAATACAATGAATTTTAAGAATCCAGCTTCTGAGACTATACAGAAGGAAATTTATACATATATGTACATATTGTAATAGTTCAGTTTTGCAATGCTAGAGGGGCTGTTATCAGAGAATTGTTACCTTGACAGGTCATAGCTTGATCCAACTACACTCTGGAGAAATACAAGGGAATCCTATCTATGCAAAAGATACCAATAATGGCATCCATCCAAATTAAAAGGACTGCATAAAGTAAGCCTCAAAGTTTCTAAAATGTTATTACAGAGATGAACTGTTAAGATCCTGTATGAAGCCCCTTCTAAATACCCTCACTCATGATGAAAAGGAACATGTTAAGACATGCTGCAATTGTAAATATCCTACCCAAATATGAAAAGTTAGGTTACCCCAGTGGTATTTTTAATTAATGTTAACTTTCAAGGGATTACTTACTTACTACATACAAATCTTACGTTCTTTCCAATTTTTCCCTCCTCTATATAGAATAAATCTGTTATCCAACCCATTCGTCTTAATGTTCTATTAAGAAAAGTTCCCAGTGAGTTTTTATTAAAACTTAACCACTCACTGAAAGCTGTATAAGTATTGCTAAAAAGATTTGAAATAGGTTTTATCTTCTCCCGTATTTTTAGGCAAAGCACTCAACAAATTTATGTATGTCTTTTCTAGTAAGTCAAACAACTTATCAAAAAAATGTTTTAAATCGCTAAGAAACTTGCCTAAACGAGTTTTTACAAGCCAGGATTTGGACTGGTTTTTAAGTGCTGAACTTTATTTTGAAAGTACAATACTAATTATCCCCCAAAAGCAATATTTCATCACTTTAGAAAATATCTAAAACAAAGGATAATCCAACACGTAGATAACTCTCTATAAGAATTCTAATCTAACTGCATTTTTTAAAAAAAGCCTTTTGTTTCCTTCAATTCTATTCCAGTGGGCATCAAATTTCCAAATAGTTCTGTTTAGGGTACATGGAAAATTAGCCAATATTTACTAAGAAAGCTTCTATTAGGTTGTCTAACAAAATGGAGGTCTCTCGGGGCAAAAAACAGGCCTAAACACTTTTCAACTTACAAAATGGGGTCAAACACACCCACTTTAAGAAACCATGGTTTGGGTCAGATTTTCCACCAAAAAAAAAAAAAAAGTTGATTCTGTAGGGTTCGACGAAGTGTCCCTGGAACTGGGGGTTTTTAGTGAAGGTTTCAAAGACCCTGGAGGGAGGGGGTGCTTCTCTCCACACACTAGAGGACGGCGGCGAGGGGTAATCCGAAAGCCCGGGGTAAGGGAGCTAGAGCTGGGGGCGGAGGCCGCAGCGCTCCGCGGGTTCCTAGCCGACAGTCAAAACTGACCGGCCCACTACGCAAGACAGCCTTGGGATCTCCCAAAACCCGGCCAAGTCAACAGCAAAAAAAGCACCAACTCTCCTTTCTGCTTCCAGGCCCCGCCTCGCCCCATTGGCAGCCGTTCCCGCCAATCCGCACCGTCACCGCCCCCAAGCCCGCCTGCCAAGCCCTGATTGGACCGGATGGGAGCCCGGGACCTCGTGTTACCAATCTGGGAGCCCCTTACTCGACCGCACGCGCGCGCGCCCCGGTGCTCGCCCGGAGGCCTCCCCTTCACCGGCCGCGTCCCCTCCCCCACCCCCAGGGCTCTGGCAGCGACTTACCGTCCCGGGAGGTGCCCATGAGCTGGTCCAGCATCGCGCGCATCTGGGCCTGCGCCGACATGGCGGCGGCGTAGCGGGCGGGCGGGCGAGCGA